CAATACCGAAGAAATCCGGTCCCTACCCCGAGTTTCCAGTTATAAATGCCCTTTAATCCCCGTCATTCCTTGAAAGTCCTTCCCTGGAGTAGCTACGGCGTATAATTTATGGCTAACGTATTATATAACGCATCTACAGGACGATAGTTGTATCTTCTCCTCCCCCACTACGGACCTCTCAAGGTCGACCGCAACACGTCGTTGCTTCAAATCTCCTAACACAATTTTTGCAGTCAACAAGAACAAATATTCCTTAGAACGGTGGTATGAATACCGGATCCTCTGCTCCATGACTTAGGCTTGTGTTATAGTGGCCAGGGGTTGCCATGCTACCCAAGGAGCAGACTCTCCGTCCTCCGGGCCATCGGCCGATTCCGGCTCGAGATGTGACCGAAGTGCGGGCGTGCCTGGAATTCTCACCCGCACCAAACAAGCTTATCATGGATCGTGCTTCCAGAAGGGCTGCAGAATTCCGCCCTGGTGGATCGCTGCTGACCAACTGCAATCCACACTGTTGACTTTATTCCGACTGTGAGACCCAATTGAATCCACCCGTGTCGGACGAGCAGCCATCTTGGGAGACCATCTCCTTAGGATTTCCGCAAAAATGGAGCCTGGTGCACACCTTATATTCAGATGCTCCCGCAAAGTCTTTTCCTTTCTTTCGTGATTTTCTTTGCTGTTTTTCTTGCTAGGTACTTTTTTCCAAATCAAGCATTGCGTCTTCTCTAAGATACCCTTTTCTTTTCTTTAATTATAAAACAATTCAATATGTGTCAATCTTCCTGGCATGACTTCCTCCTTGGCCTTCCCAAGTGCGAGCACCACGTGCACTTGGAAGGCTGCCTCACCCCCGAGCTGATCTTCCAACTGGCCGAGAAGAACCAAGTCCAGCTTCCCGACCCCAAGTCGGAACCCGCCTACGAGTCTATCGAGACTTTGACTAGCCGATATGGCCACTTCAGCTCCTTGGACGACTTCCTCCACTTCTACTTCATCGGCATGTCCGTGCTCATCCAGGAATCCGATTTCGCCGATCTGGCCTGGGCCTACTTCAAGAAGGCTCACGCCGACGGCGTGCACCATGCCGAGGTCTTCTTCGACCCTCAGGTTCACCAGGACCGTGGCATTCCCTACGAGACCATCGTGGCCGGCTTCGTGGCCGGCTGCAAGCGCGCCGAGCAGGAGCTCGGCCTCTCCACCCGCCTCATCCTGTGCTTCGTTCGCCACCTCCCCGTTGAGTCTGCCAAGAAGACCTACCAGAACATCCTCGACAACAACCACTTCGACACCGAGGTGATTCACGGCCTCGGCTACTCTTCCTCCGAGGTCGGCCCTCCCAAGGATATGTTCCGCGAGATCTACCTGTCCGCATCGGCCAAGGGCGTTCGTCTCACCGCCCATGCGGGTGAGGAGGGTGATCCTACCTACATCACCGCGGCCCTGGAGATGGGCGCGACGCGCATTGACCATGGCATCCGGCTCGTCGAGGACCCGGCCCTCATGGAGCGTGTGGCTCGCGAGAACATCCTGTTGACCGTCTGCCCTCTGTCGAACGTTCAGCTCAAGTGCGTGAAGACGGTGGCGGAGGTGCCCATTCGCAAGTTCCTGGACGCTGGTGTCAAGTTCTCGCTCAACAGCGATGACCCGGCTTACTTCGGTGGCTACATCCTGGACAACTACTGCGCTGTCCACGAGGCGTTCAACCTTTCCGTGAATGAGTGGAAGACAATTGCCGTCAACAGTGTCACCGAGAGCTGGATCGGTGAGGACCGCAAGCAGGAACTGCTGCAGCGGATCGATGCCCACGTCGAGAAGTTCGCTACTCTGGCTTAGAGTATATTTATCTGTAGACTAGAGTTCATATAGATTCGGTATATATAATGAGATGATAATGATGCGCATGAACCACTCATTGCAGTCTCGTAAGGCTTAACTTCAATTCCCACTGGTAGACGGGAGCGAAAATGCAGATACTCACGTGAAGTTGACGACCGACTTCATTTCCGCGTGTGAGCCTTGCGACGTAGGCTCGTTTTCTATCGCCGGATTTATCAGTCAGGGCGAGATTAGTAACGAACACTGCAAGGATCGCCAAGCTTTTAGGACCGTGAGGACGTCACTGTATCAGCTGCGCTTCGGGCAGATGAAGTCAACCGTGTAGCAGACCCCTGGTGAAGCCGCAGCAACCCCTCATGCCAATATTGGGCCGTCCAGCTTCCCGTGCGATTGCGATTGTATCGCAGCCTCTTCTACGCCACTTCATCCGGACTTGCTCATCCTCGAGATTCCCCCTCTCAAGACCAACCTTTTCCTCTACCGTATCTAAAGCTGCTGCTACCACCATCTACCGGTACCCCGCTTCTATCGAGACCTCCCAGCTTCTACACAAACTCCCAACCTTTCAATCCCATCGTGTCCGAAATATGGCTACCGAGCATATTCCCGACCGCTACAAACTCGTTTTCTTCGTGCCGCACTCCCACCTTGACGTCTGCAAGGATGCGGTGTTCGCTACTGGTGCCGGAACATTTCCTGGCGGCAAGTATTCCAAATGCTGCTTCCAGACACGGGGAACCGGACAATTCCTGCCAGGAGAGGGTGCCAATCCCGCAATTGGCTCGGTCGGCGACGTGGAGTATGTCGAGGAGATGAAGGTGGAGGTCATGTGCTTGGGACGGTCGATTATGCTGCAGGCTGTGGAGGCCTTGGTGAAGGCTCATCCGTATGAAGAGGTTGCGTATGAGGTTTACAAGATGGAGAATGTGTAATCTGATCTGGAATCCAAGGACGCATGTGCGGCGTTATGATGTTTCGGGGGGGGGGGGGGCAATTTCGCGTTTTCAGATATTTACGGTAGTGGCTGTCATTAGTTTCAAAATAATTCATCGCAAGTATTCAACTGAGAATTGGACCTCTCCGTAGAGGTGGAAAACCGGTCGAGGCGATGGTGAAATTGAAAGCATGATGCTGTTGAGTTATTCTCTTTTATTGGCACAAGGCGGGGAGTAATCTGTCGGCGGTGATTGGTCAGCTGTAGCTTCCGCAAAACGCCTCTTCGACTCCAAGTCGAGCGCTCACCTTCAATCCATCAGATCGAATCTCTTCTCCTCGCCCCCAATACCCCCTCAATTCTCCCCGTCGCTACCGGCAATGGCTTCCAAACTCTTCCCTGCCATCCCGCGGACTGGCCGCCAGCTTTTCCAGAACTTCCCCAAGACTCAATTCAGACCTTTCTCGGCTGGTCCGCAACGCTGCAGCGACTCCCTTGCCGTGGTATGTGCAATTGCATCCGCCAGCGTGGTTACCATCCGGATTTCGCGGTTGTATCGGATATATTTTCGTTCACAATCGCTAAACAGGAGACGCCGTCTTTGTGGTTGCGATAATTGAGGCTAACGGTTTGGGTTCACTAGCACCGCAACAAGCCCGACAACAACCCGTCCGTCCCTTTCAAGTTCAACGACCAGAACCTCAAGCTCATCGATGAGATCCTCAAGCGCTATCCTCCTCAGTACAAGAAGGGTGCTGTTATGCCCATTCTCGACCTGGGCCAGCGCCAGCACGGCTACACCAGCATCAGCGTCATGAACGAGGTCGCCCGCCTCCTCGAGATGCCCCCCATGCGTGTCTACGAAGTCGCAACTTTTTATACCATGTACAACCGGGAGCCCGTTGGCAAGTACTTTGTCCAGCTGTGCACGACGGTAGGTCTTGAAACCCATTCCATTGCTTCAAACCGCGCGCAGTTACTGACACCGCCGCCTACAGACACCCTGCCAGCTCGGTGGCTGCGGTAGCGACAAGATCGTCAAGGCTATTACGGAACACCTCGGCATCACCCCCGGACACACCACCGAAGACGGTCTTTTCACCTTCGTCGAGGTCGAGTGCTTGGGTGCCTGTGTCAACGCCCCCATGGTCCAGATCAACGACGACTACTACGAGGATCTCACCCCCGAATCCATCAAGACTCTCCTCACCGCGCTCAAGGAGTCGGCCACCGCTGCTGAGGCCGGCCAGTCCGTCAAGGTGCCCGCCCCTGGCCCGTTGACCGGCAGACAGACTTGCGAGAACAGCGCCGGCCTGACGAACCTGGTGGAGCCCGTCTGGGACCCGGAGACGATGATGAGAAAGGATGGAGCCTTGGATCAGCCCGCGCAATAAATGAATGTCAGCCTATAATTTGAATACAGTTTTCGATGCCGTGCGTTGGAAGGTTCGATAGTTTTCCCTCATGTTTTCCCCTTTTTCATCGTTCTATATCTCATTTTTCTCTTGATCTCGAACAATATTCCTGGCCGGTAAATTTCAGACACGGCAACAACTCGGATGATGCTCATGTACAGTACGTTGTGCTTCATATTCGCTTGCTTCCTGTTGCGTAAGGAGGAAAACCGGGTCATGGTGGGAGTCATTTGATCTGCCATAGAAGGTTGTGTTAGCAGTACCCAATGGAGTCCTTTAGTTATTCATTCACCGAAATCGCGTCGCCTCTGGGTTCCTTACCTGCAAAGTGTTCTTGATCCAGATTATACGACTAATCGAAAAACAAGCTTATTATAACATGCTTAGTCGTCAGACACCATCAAAGTTAGGAATCATGTGACCGGCAGCGACAACACGCCTTCAATACTTCTGGGCTTTGTGCTCGATCTCCGTACGATCTCAATTCCTTCCCCAACCGACCCCTGCACCGGAATTTCGGGTGTAGGGGTCGGTTGCACCTTCCCCAACATGATCTTAAGCGCCTTATAGGCATCTGAGGAAGGTGCCCGTGGAATCCTACCATGGGGTTGTCCACATGTCCTTGAAAAGCCTACTGAGCAAGTACTGGTAAGAACATCCTTGAGTCTGCTTTGACTGCTATCGCTGCAATTTGGCTGTCGTTAACTCGTACATAAATGGCATTCAAAATGACAAGACAGATTCAGGATCGACACCAAATGCTGATCGCCGAACAACCAACATATCATCAACAAAACCTAAGTCGCCTCGTCTTAAATCAGTGGTTGTCCCCCACGACTAATTGTCTTTTCATCTGCGACTTCCTCGGGCGTGACCAGTACGGACTTCTCACCCCTCTCGATAAGAGCCTTGTCGCGACGGTTCTCGAAGATGGTCACATCAATGGTCTTCCTGGCCAGCAGGTGGTAGATGTGAACATGCTTGGTCTGACCGAACCGTCGACTGCGGCCGATGGCTTGGGTCATAGTCGAGTCGTGATCATATTGAGTCTGCGTCAGCAGGGGTGACAGGAAAATGACGTGGTTTGCTTGCTGTAAGTTCCTATAACTCATGGTTAGACACCCACGAAACGTTTGCGAGAGGAATCGGCTCTGACTTACAATCCCGCAGCCAACTCGGTTCCAAGGTTCAGAATCAACACCTTTGCTTGCCCTAATCCGCTCGCCTGTAGCTTGTCGAGCTTCGCGGTAGACCTACCTTCCACTGCTGTGATCATGGTGTGTTTGATCTTGGCGAGATTCAATGCTTTGGCGGCGGCTTGCATTAGATCCGGGAACTGAATGAATAAGAGGACCCGCTCGCCCTGCGGAGTGCCGCGGATGATCTCAATCAGCTTGTCGAGTTTGCTGCCGCCAAATGCGGTCTCTCTGTCGACAGTCTCGCGCTCCAGCGTGCCCATCGGGATGACATTGTAGCCCTTGCCGGAACCGCGGCATCCTTCCACACTGCATTCCTCTTTCTGCACAGCCTGCGAGATGCAGTCTTTGCAAAGCGAATGACCACAAGAACCTAGTAAGCTTAACTGGTCGAGAGAGTCAGGCCGGCTATTGCAACCAGAGCACTTGGAAATCTGCCCGCAGATTTGCATCGACCGTGTCTTCTTGAGAAATCTTACGCCACGCTTGCGCGAAACCCATTCGTCAATCATCCCTTTCATAGCAGTTGTAACTTCACGCAGCTGTGGCTCGATCTCGGCCAATCCTGCAGGTCTTGCTGGGAGTACGGTTTTGCTGTTATCGTTCTCTCCCTGGCCGGCGGACTTCTTTGACTGCGGGGCCTTCGATGATCTTCCTCTTGCTGCACGTTTCTGAGTACCAGGGTTGCCCTTGTCCTGCTTGTCTGCCGACTGCTGTGGATCGACTTTGGTCGGAGGTGCGAAGAATTCTTTCCAATGGCTCGGGTTCGATGAGCGGACTGCATCGTCCAAAAGAGAGCAAACGGTTTCTGTCACCGAGTTGTCGCCAAAATTGTGACCGGTGACGGCGTCGACGAATTTGTCAAACCTTGCAGACTGTGAATCACATTCGCAGTACATCCACGCCGCTAGTCTCAATTTCTCCACGAGTTCTTCTCGTATGTCGGCAATCTCCTTTTTCCTAAGTTCAATGAGAGATTCGCAAGTCGTGACTTCTGGTCCCCGGGTCTTCGTCCAATCACCAACGACAGCGAGACAAGCACAGCGCTTGAGTAGTGCTTCGTCGCAGCTCGTGCTAGTACTCAGGATTGCATCTAGCCGACTAGCCTGATCGCCATTGAATCGAGACTTGACCTGACGGCGGAGCTTGCCATCACATGCTTCCAATTGCCTGTACATCTCGGAGTAGAGTGCCTGTTCAGCCGGTGTTGGGCGGATTAGGATGACATGTTCAGTGAAGGGAATCTCGTCAATCTCCGGAACATTTCTGCGAACAAACCGACTCAAAAACCTTTGTGCAACCTCGTGGCGATTCTGATGCCATGCGTCGCTGTGGGTCGTTCGGTAGGACTGGAACCTCTCTGCATCGGATCGCTGATTAGACAGCAACCTGAGTCGACCGTTCTGCGACTTGAACTCATCATCGTCTATCCCCAGATGGACCCTCATAAATGTTGCAATGGACTTGACATCGGCAAAATCATTCAAAGGCGGAGTTCCCGACAAGATCCATTTCGAGCCAGCTTCGAGTGCCAGGAAGGATTCGAGTCTCTCATCGCTCGCGTACGTGAACTCGTCAATGATAAGGCGACTGAAAGCAAAAGCATGGAGGCAAAGAATCTTGACCTCTGTCCAAGCCTGATCGGGCTGGCCATTGATATTGAACTCCTTCAGGTCGTTCCATGTCTTGCAGACTTCCTTCCTAGACCCCGAGCGGCCAGGTTTCCTGCTTTTGTTGCTGGTACTTGACGGTACCTGTCCCTCAGGATCATCCGATGCTGAGCTTGGGCTGGCTGAGTCTTCAGGATCATCATCACCCTCAGGGACTAACATCTCCGAAGGCAGAAATTTTAAACACTGGTGCACTCTAGCCTTCAATGACTCGTCGCTTTCATCTTCCATATGGTCTGCATCTTCTTCAGCGCTAGAGATGTTGCCGTCATACTCCTCACAATCAACATTATTGCACCGGTTTTGGACCGCATCGACATATGATTTCCCTCTAAAACGCCTAGACGGTAAATATGTGGCCTGCCTCTGGCTTACTTCGGCATCTTGGCGCTTTGAGCGGATTGCATCGAGAAAGGCACCGGGGCCTTTTTCTGTCAGGACACGAACTAGATCTTTCAGCGAAGCCAGTGCATTCGTGAACCAATTCTCAAAATCGCGAGCCTTATTCCCAGGCGCCCGTGACGTTCCAGTGAGATTTCTCAATTTGTTGTAGTAGGCATCGCCGTTGAAGACAGTCCAAGACACCAATATGATATCGCTGAGAAGGATATTTTTGATGGGTACCTTTGAAAGGTTCTGTACTGAGCCAATGACAAGAACCTTATACCTGGACCCCAAGAATTTCTTGATTTCCAACTCCCATTGTCGCAAAACTACTCCAGGAACAATGACAAGGGTGCCTTTCGCGGGGATGAACCCATCCTTCGGACCTAGACTCGACATCCGAAGGTTTTCGTGTTGCATATCGATCAATCCCAGGATGATGGCGGTTTTGCCGTAGCCGACATCATCTGCGAGGACACCTCCCCGGACAGTTGTAGGAACAAGAACTCTAGCTTCAGCACGCCACATCATCTGCGGAAGGAGTGCCTCTTCTACTTCTTCTTCCAAAAATGGCGCATTCTTGTCACTTTCCTGATCAATCATCCAACCCAAGGATCGCAACTGCTCAGGCCGTAACTTTAACCGGAAATTAAGGGGTTGAAGAGACGGCAGGTTGTGGCGGTTGCTGGTTAGGCTGAGATCCGAGAAGCAGTGGTTGCGTGTGTCATATGAGTTGGGCAAGAGGCGCCATTGGAACCGGGCCTCTTCGATCATCTCAGAACCACACAATCGGTCATACGCCTGATGAATTAGAACTTGGATATTGAGAGTGACACACAGATTGCTGGAGCCTGTCTGACAATCGCGACGGAAGAACAGGAACGCAGAAGGCTTCGACTTCATTTGGCGCTCAAATAGGGCGGCATCATACGGGTTTTCGTAAGTAACCATACGGCCCCGTCGATCTCTACCCGGCAGAAACCGTGGCTTGGGTGGTGCGCATACATCGCAGATTGATCGAGTGCTATCTTTCACGGTCTGCACGTGAACGAGATCCTGCCACTCTTCAAAAGGACCGAAGCCTGCCGCTTTCTGAAATAACCAAAAGACGTCTCGCAGTTTTGAAGCCGAGTATACTGGATTTATCGCCTCCCACTGGTCGTTTCGGTTGTCTAGTTGCGTCGCTGTCATGGGCAATTCAAATGAGAGCAAGGTGGTATTGGCATTATGACAGTCAGAATCGCAGCTGGTAATCTTGCTGTCAGGTGCCAGGCTATAGCACGCAATGGAAGCATCGGGAGCATGAGGGGTCAGAGACACAACTGGTGCCTTGATCCACTTGCGGTGATACACAGGAATAGATTCGGGTACGTCGCTCGCTTTCCAAGAGCGCCAAGCGTGCGATAATTCGGCAATCGTTCTGCGTCGATCATATCCAGAGATGAATCGATGCTCAAAGGAGAAAACGAAAGAGTCATTCTCAGGCTTTCCAAGCTTGGTCGAATCCAAGAAAAGATAAACAACAGGTTCCTTCTCAGCTGTGACTTTCCTATGCAAAGATGCGAATGCAGTTCCGCATTCTGGCAAAAGTTCATATGAACCTCGAATATCGGCATCCAAGTTCTGCACATCTTCGTCGGAGCCCTGAATTTCAATACGCGTCCAAACCTTTGACCCAACGAACTGCGGATCTTGATGGCCACTTCTAACTTCGTAGCTGTCAATTTGACGCCCCCCCGCCCATACATTGAAATAGCCCTTGAGGCTGATCAGAGTACATATTTCCCATTCGCCTTTCATGAGAGAACCATGCTCTGGTCTGAGCCGTGCAATTGGTTTGGAGAGTATCTCTCGGATGAGAGACAGAGACGGCTTGTGACTTGGGGGCGATGCAAAGAGAAGCCACTCGAGACCGTCTTCACCTATCACAAGATTTAGTCTCGACGTTTGACCTTCATATTGAACGGTCCACACATCACTGCGCTTGATATCCAAGAGTGAGAGTTCACCATCTATGCTGGACTCTATGACTTGCCAAAAAAGCGACCAAATCTGCGACGGGCAGGTCTCTGATTCTGTTACAAGCTTGGAGTAAATGTCGCGAGAGATACCAGTCAGAACCAAGCGCGCCGGTAGTAGTCTTCTTAGCTCACTGACGAACTGCATGGGCGGGATGCGCTCTATGCCAGACCAAGATTCGAAGACATGCGATGGGTTGCCGCCGCAGTCCGAACAAACTGTGTGTCCACAGAGGATACATCGAAGAATATTTGTCTCAACCTCCAATTGTCCCTCGCACATGCAGTAACGTGCGCTGCGTGCGGCTTGAATTTGAAGTTCTTGGGTGTCTACCTCGACGGTGTGGGTAAGCTGCATGTCATCATTTATCATGCGGCAGTCGTCTCGCGGGCACAGAGCTCTGTGCTTGGCCTGTACCTCAGGGGATGCGGAAGACTGTTCACCTGCACGAAGGACTAGGTGTGCTAGTATCAGTGCTGAGAGAATTGCGCAACAGACGACAGTTGAGCTCATGGCATTACCCGCAAGATCTTGCAGTTCGCGCGTAGATTCGCGGGTGACCAGGAGTCTATCCGATGGTAAGCCCTGCAAAGCAAGCGTTTCGATTCCACAAAGTGGTCCTCCTCTGCTGGTAAGATAGGGGACACCGGCAGGAGTGATGCAGCCGACCAGACCAAAAGCACGAAGGTCTATTTCGCGTTCAATACCCTGCGAAAGATCAATACACCTCCTAAGGTTGGTAAGCTTAGCACTCTTCTACGGCTCTGAGGATCTTCGAAGCTAACTTACTCTTTATAGGTCATGTCGTAGCCTTCCTTGAGCTTGCGCAAGAAGTTCACATCAAGGGTGTCCCAGACTCTCTCTACTAGGGACCTATTCCATAGATGCCAACTGAAGTCTGGTGTTATGCAAGTCCCGTTGTCGAGGGATCTGGTGTATGGACGCTTGTACCCAAGGTGCTCAGTCTGTCTATAGGCTTGATGACGGACCTCGTATTTCTCCCACGCACGAACCCGGTACGCGGGGAATATTAAGCTATTAGCAATTTGGTGCAGCCTTCGGTCATTGGCATCAAGGAGAAACATCCCTGCTGGGGAGCTCGCCTGACGTGTGAAGCTGGACATCAGGTCAGACCATGACAACACACTCTCTGCAGACAGACCGTTTTGCTGCAGGAGCTGGGAATCCACGCAGCACATATAACCTCGCTCGCGCGTCTGCGGCAGGTAATATGCTTTTGTGTCGACGGCGGAATGCACGACGGTGTAGCCGATGTCGATCCAGTATTGCTTGATTGTGGGCCATGGGGCGCTTCTCACGTTCTCCAGGATGACCAGACGAGGACGGTACGCTTTGGCATATGCTAGGATGCTTCGCAAGGTCCCGCTGGACTCACCCGTCTCGTCGAGCGTCTTCTGCTTGTTGTTCAAGGCTGAGAAGTCCACGCACGAGAAGCCTGCGACAAGAAGGTCGACATCGTTGGGTATCTTTGCCCAGGAGCCGTATGCCGTTTGACTGGGGAAGAGTTAGAGACAATCTTCATCTAAGAGATGAAAATTAAGAAAGAGAACTCACGCTACGCGACCTTTCAAATCGGTCACGTCGCGAAAAAGCAACGGGGGATGAAAATTACGTTCGATATAAGCCTGTTTGAAGGGTACGATCTCGGCACTGAAAAGGTGTTCGAACGCAAGCTCTCTATTATGAAACTTTCGCAGATCTTCCAAATAAGATAAGGTGGGTTTGTCAGTTATCCTGATGGTGGTGGCACTAGCAATGAGGGAGGGCAAAAGCTTACTTTCCTGCACCATCTCCAGGGCTAGCAACGGGCTTTCGGTGCCAGAGCAGACAGTGACTGTACGGAGAGGTCTGGAACCGACGTGGGTCAGGTACTTGTCTAAGCCCAGCTCCATTGCTCGTTGGGTGATCGACTTGAAGATGTCGCTCAGTTTGTGCATGGGCGGCAGGTGCCAGGCCAGCTGGGATTTAGCCGTCGTTCCCTCGCCAGAGTACGGCAGTGTTCTGACGAACTCCGGGTTGGTTGGGTCCAACTCTTCCAGTGCAGCCATCGCCTGGTCATCGAGGGTGTCGGTCAGGAGGAGCTGGTATCGTTTGGGCGGCGGCCCCTCCTCTTGGGACGACGAGGCCCTCTTCCTAACTGGAGGCATCTTTCCTTTCTTCTGGGTGGGAAGAAGTGAGAAGGTCACCTCCGTGTTAGAAAGAGCACAATCCAATTTCAGCTCTGTGATGGGATCTAGGATATTTGAAAGAGATATGAAGCTATGAGGGTTCGAAAGAGTCACGTGGTGTTGATGGAAGAGTTTATGCCGAAGGACATAGGTGAGAGGGGAGGAAGGGAAGTGAGAGTAGGAAAACAAAGAAAAGAGATGTATGTGGGTGGGGTGGCTAAGGTGAAATGAGACGACTGGAAATTTGCAACTCAGGGGAATGCTTTTGGGAGATGTTTGTTGTGTGGCCTAGTGAATGTGTTGCTGTTGTTACAACCTGTTGCGATGAGCCCATGGTCAGGTGCAAAGTGGATATGATGGGTTGTAGCAATGGCAACTGCTTTGTTTTCCGAAGCTAGTATTCCTTCTGAGTTTTACATGCAAAGAAGTTGGAAGTGAATCCTTTCATTCTTTGATCGTAGATGGCTGTGTTTGTCTATATGGATGTCTACGTCTATGCTGATGAGGCTGGTATATGAGATTGGAAGCTTGGTAGACAGATCACTAGGTGGGATCTCAGAACATGAAAACCATTCTTCGCTGGAGGAAGTGAAACGGTCAGAAGACTCTGCATCCAAATCACTTCAGCCAAATGCTATAATCTGAGCAACTCGTAGAAGGGGGAAAATGATACGCGTGGCGCTGAGCATGTCTGCAACCATTCTGGTTTTCGTCTCAGAGTGATACGTGCAGTAAAAACAACGCATCCTCAAAACACGGAGGAGTTAGCAGTGACTATGGAATAATATTTTCCTTTGGAACCCTGCTCAAGCTACATGTACTCCAATCTAGCCTTCTTATCTTATTCCCCAGGCGGATCCTCTCTCACACCCAGACTAATACCTCTGTAATAGATGCATGAATGTTCCAGCTCTCAGGGTGGAGGTAGTTGGTGCAAGTCGGTCTGTTCTTTGCACTTGGATCTGAACCTTATCCTTCTTTGCAGTTGGTCTTGAAAGGGCAAACAGGGCTCAGGCGGTGATTTATGAGATGTTGTTTCTCATTGTAGGATGATGGCTCTACCGTTGACGTCGATCTTCGAGTATTCGTTGGAGAAGATAGTACTTACCATGGGCTGGGGAATGATATTGCGATTGGTTGTTTAAAGTGGTTTAGCTGACTCTTTTGGGTCATGTGGTTGTCTTGTGGAGACATCCGTGAGACCAGTGGTTCTCTGGCTGTTGCCCTTTTGGGAATGTGTTGAAGTAAAGAGGATTTGTGAAGAGGGTGGGTGGGTGCATTGATTTTCGGCTTTGGGGATGGAGCGGACTCGAGCGGGGTTTGGGGGGGGGGCTTGATGAATGGGTGGATTTGCTCTGTTGAAGGCGAGGAAGGGGGAGACTTGTTGTATACCTTGAATTTTGAAGGTGTTTCGAGGCTTGAGGTATACTGCCGCGAGGTTATGATGGGTTTAATAGAACTTTGCTTGTTTGAGGAAAGGTATAGGACGGGTGTTATGTACGGTCTCGTGGGTTTAGTATAATTTCTGGAGGATGGTGTTGCTGGATACTGATTTTTTTCTCAGGCAGGCTTCTATCTTGAGGTTGGAGATCTGTAAATAGGTGTAAAGCACTCGCGCTCAGTCCTGTACAAGTGAGCAGAGTGCTCGTCTCGAGCTACTACGGCAAGTCTACAATGTGTCTGTGTCTGTGTCTGTGTCTACTGACCACCCGGTAGAAAAACAATTCAACGTTTGGGATATCTGCCACGACTCGCTTGATGAAAAATAGGTAGTGTCTGCAAGGCAAGAAGTGATATGTAAAGTACAGATTGAACCCCCCCAAAATCAGGACCCCCCCATAAGGACGAGAGAAAAAGACACTCCATTTGCGCCATTCCGGTTTGTTGCCAACCCTTCGAAGCGAAAACACAAAGCGAACTAAGACGATGCTGCTACTGCTGCTGTTGCTGCCGATATCACTGTTTTCGCTGGTATTAGTTGGTTGCAGAGCTGGGAAAGAGAGAAAAAGGAAGGGAGACTAACACGCTCTTTCTGAATAAACAAAGAACTGTACCACCGATGCCGCCCGAAATTTGAAGAGCGAGAACAAAGAAAAAGAAAGGACAGGATTTGGTCATCATCGTCATCATCAACGCATCCCACCCTGCATCAACTGCTGACGCAGGAGCAGGATCTGGCTGCGTTCCATCGGGGGCAGCGCATCGATCGCGGCCTGCGGCATGCTCAGGACTTGCTGCAGCAGCTCTTCCTGACCGGGAATTGTTTGCGGGGCTGCTTGTTGCGGCGCCGCCTGCGGAGGCTGCTGCTGTCCGAACGGCGCGGAGACCATCGGCGGGGTCGACACTTGGCCGGGGAAGTTCTGGAAAGCTTGCGCGGCAGCGGCGGCGGCGGCCGGGGGAGGTGGTGGTGCAGCCGCGGCGGTCTGCACGGCAGCCTGTTCTACGACCGTGCCGAGGGCGCTGTAATCGACCAGGTTCATGAGGAGCAAGGCCTGGAAGATGGCGTAGGCGAGCTGGGGCGCCTGGCGGAGGAGCTCCGTGGCGCGGGCGGGGTCGGCCATGACCAGGGACTTCATTTGCTGGAGGACATCGAGGAGCTGGTTGGGAGGGAGGGAGGCGAGCGTTTGCGAGATGGCGTTGGGGCAGTCCAGGTGCGGCGGCACCTCCACGCCGGGAGGCAGAGGAGGCAGCGGCGCATGCGCGGGCTGCGCGCCGCCAGCTCCCCCGGCGCCGCCAAGGCCCAGGCCGTCTTGTTGTCCCGCCGCAGCGCCCGCGGGGCCGTTGTTCTGGTGGAGGTACTCGGGCGGCACGGAGTCCTTCTCGTTGTTATGGGGCCAGTCGACGCGGATCTTGCGACCCATGACCTCGTAGTCGTTCAGGTTGCGCACCGCAGAAGCCGCGGAGTCGGCGTCGGCGTAGTCGGCGAATCCATAACCCTTCGGTTTGCCGGTTTCCTGGTTGATCATAAGACGGAACTTCGTGACGGTGCCGGCGGTACCGAGGATATCCCTGATTTGTTCCTCGGTGAGGTCTGGAGAGGTTGTGAAAGGTGTTCGAGTCAGCAGATATTCGACGGGGACAATGGACTGGGTATGAGGGAGGAAACTGCTGGCATTTGTGTGTCTTCGGTGACATGGTGGAGGGGGCAGAGCACATACTGTAGGGGATATTTCCCAGAAAGATACTCGTCCCGTTATTTCTTTGCGGGGCCATGATTGCGGTGTTTAGTGAAGCTCTTGACGGCCAGTCGAACAGAGGGTAAAAGCGCGAAACAATGGAAAGCGGGAAAGATGATGTTGTACGGAAAACTGCCAAGGCGGTGTCAGAATCGGGCGATTTGCCGCGAACTTCCACTTCCCTCCATCCTGCCTCTTTCCCCGTTGGCTTCTCTTTTCCCCTCCGCTTCGCTCATACCACCATATTCACCCTCATCTTTTCATCTTTCACCATGTCTCAGAATCCTAGGGAGCAGTGGGAGAGACTTCAGGTCCTCCTGCAGAACCGCGGCGGTCCTCACCTCAAGCGATTCGGCGGCGGCGGTGGTGGACGCGGCTTCGGAGCTGCAGGCGCCCTGCTTGTCGGTGTTGGAGCTATCTTCCTGGCCTCTGACTGTCTGTTCAACGGTGAGAAGGCCTGCAATTCAACCGGTTAGCCTTGTGGAAGCTGTTTTAAGCTAACGGGATGGGTGTTCTAGTCGACGGTGGTCACCGTGCTATTAAGTATTCCCGCTTTGGTGGTGTGCAGAAGGAGATCTACACTGAAGGTGCGTCTATTTCTTGAAGCTACTCTCCCGGTTGCATCCGCTGATAGGACTCGTTCCAACTAGGAACTCACTTCCGAATCCCCTGGGTCGAGACTCCGATTGTCTATGACGTGCGCGCAAAGCCGCGCAACATTGCTTCCCTCACCGGTACCAAGGACTTGCAGATGGTGAACATCACCTGCCGTGTCCTGTCCAGACCCCGCGTGGATGCCCTTCCTCAAATATACCGTACTCTCGGCCAAGACTTCGATGAGCGGGTGCTGCCATCCATCGTCAACGAGGTTTTGAAGAGTGTGGTGGCCCAGTTCAACGCCAGTCAGCTTATCACTCAGCGTGAGAACGTTGCCCGTCTTGTCCGGGATAATCTTGCCCGTCGGGCTGCTCGCTTCAACATCGCCCTGGACGATGTCTCTCTAACGGTACGTCATATGCCATTGTTACATTAACAGTTCTCCCACTAATGCTTTTCTCTACTGCAGCACCTTACCTTCTCCCCCGAATTCACCGCCGCCGTGGAGGCCAAGCAAGTTGCCCAGCAGGAAGCTCAGCGGGCTGCGTTCCTGGTTGACAAGGCTCGTCAAGAGAAGCAAGCTTTCATTGTCCGCGCTCAGGGTGAAGCCCGCTCCGCTGAGCTGATCGGTGATGCCATCAAGAAGAGCAAGAGTTACATTGAGCTGCGTAAGATCGAGAACGCCCGGCACATCGCTCAGATCCTGGGTGAGCACAGCGGCAAGAACAAATTGTACCTGGATTCGCAGGGTCTGGGTCTGAACGTGAATGCAGGAGGGGAGGATAAGCAGTAAGGGCCAGTGATGCATGGGCCGGTGGTAGGCGATCAGTCGGATTTGTTTGACTCTAATGGGTTTATTTCTTATAACGAGGGCCTTGGCGCTATTCTAGGTTGCGCGCGGCCAAGGAGATGGAGGGGGGACGTTTTTTGTACAAATAGTCAGTTATTTGCAGGATTCTCAGAGCAACCAGGCGAACAGTTTCTCTTCTCTTTTCATTGTGTTCCGCATGGACTACTGTGTAGGTCTAACCTGAGTTTTCACCTCTGAAAAAAAAAGCCTTTGAGTAGCGTTTCTTATTGACTCGTGCCCGCGGCGGGATCGTCAGCGGGGAACGAAAGCGGCGGGCGGATTTTTTTTTCAGATCGCAGCTTGAAACTTCTCCTCATTAATATCTCTTCCCCGCAACAGCAGAGGTCTATCTACAGCCATAGACCTCAAGACATTGACTTGCTTCAATTAAAAGTCTCCTCCTCTGGCAAGTTACAAGAAAGTAAGCTCTTTCCCTTCGCAGAACCATGCGCCCCAAGGCTATCGCATCCAGCCCCATTTCCGCTCGACAATACTATAACTACCTCGCCCAAAATCCTTTCCCCTCCCCTCTTCTTATCGAAACCACCCAACTTATCAGCACACTCACAAATCCCAACCAGAACATCCACCCGGGGAACACAGAGCAAACAAAATGGACCCCACGCCCGACCTCGACCTCGCCATCAACGTCGACACCGACATCCAAGAGCTGCTGCTGGCCGCCTCGCAGCACGACCTGCCACAACTCCGCCGCCTCATCCGCACCAACCCATCCCCGGCCCTCGCCAACCCGGTCAACGCCCGCGACCCGGAGACGGGGCTCACGCCGCTCCACTCCGCCGTGGCCGCCTGCGAGCCGGACGACGACGACGACGACAATGCAGAGCAGCAGCCTGCTGTGAACGGAGCGGCGGACAACAGCAATGCCACCCCCAGCGCAGAGGTAGAGCAGGCCGCGCTGGAGACGGTGCGGTTTCTGCTGCTCGAGGGCGCGATCTGGAATGATTTGGATAACAACGGGGAGACGCCGGGGTGTATTGCGCGGCGGTTGGGGCTGCGCGAGGTGTATGAGGCGCTTGTGGATGCGGGGGTGCGGGCGGAGTTGTTGCTGGGGCGGTTGGATGGGTTTGGGTATGAGGCTTTGGATGATGGGGATGATGAGGATGATGAGGATGAGGAAATGCAGGAGGAGGAGGAGGAGGAGCAGGAAGAGCAGGAAGGTGTACCGGAGTTGGTCGATGCCAGCGCTGCTACCACCACCACCACCACTACGACTACCACCGAAGAACCCACCACCAACCCAGACGTCACGCAATCCCGCTACCTCGACTCCGGGCTGACCTTCCAACACGACCGCCTCCTCGACCAGGACCAAAACGGCGTGATGATGGCCTGGGAGACGGAGATCATGCGCAAATCCGCCGCGGCGCTGCTGCCGGCGCCGGGCCTGCGGGTGCTCAACATCGGTCACGGGATGGGGATCGTCGACGGGTTCTTCCAGGACCAAAGCCCCGCGGCGCACCACATCGTCGAGGCGCATCCGGAGGTCGTGGCGGAAATGAAGCGCAAGGGCTGGCACGAGCGGCCCGGGGTCGTGATCCACGAGGGCCGCTGGCAGGAGATCCTGCCGGCGCTGGTGGCCGAGGGCGAGATGTTCGACGCCATCTACTACGATACCTTCGCCGAGTCGTACGGGGATTTCCGCGAGTTCTTCACGGAGCAGGTCATCGGGTTGCTGGAGCAGGAGGGCAAGTGGAGCTTCTTCAATGGGATGGGCGCCGATCGCCAGATCAGTTATGATGTCTATCAGAAGGTGGTCGAGATTGATCTGCTCGAGGCCGGATTCGATGCCGACTGGGAGGAGTTCGAGGTGCCGACGCTGGAGGGCGAGTGGGGTGGGGTGCGCAGGCCGTACTGGGCTATTGAGAAGTACCGTCTGCCATTGTGCAGATATATGGACTAGATTAGCAGTACACATCTACGTATAGGAATGAATTGTCTTGATGACCCACTTTCTACACATGCAATCATTCCGTTTGTTCTTCACAACTAGGCGGTGTATTTCAAGCTCAGATTAAAAGTCGTACAGGCAGGGATCTAACTATATACAAGATGAGCATGCTCCTGTATGGTGCACTTGCTTCGAGCTTGCGGCGGGAAAATGCTACCAAGACTCCCAGTGATGCATATGGCCCAAATGAGAAAACGAGAAAGAAAAAGCGCGAGGAAAAACAGAACGCTGGAGGGCATGAAAGCAAAAGATTCATCGCGTCATAAGATCAACCGTTCCTGACGGTCATCATCTATAGCTGAATGAGGTCAACCTCAGAGAAGTCGGGCGGACTGCGGCTGAAGATTGTGTGGCTCTTGCCATCCAGTGCTTGGTACTCGTTACTGATCCAGATATGTTTGCTGAATCGCTGGGTCCGATAAATCTCATCATCACTAACGCCCAGGTCGTCTCGAGGAATCCAGATCACGGGTCGCTTCGCGCGTAAAGCTTCGTGCTGGAAGGCTCGTTGAGTGAGCTGGTCGCGCTCCTCCGGTGTAAGATCCTCTAACTCGTCGTGAATGCCGGAGAACAAGGCTGGGCCCATGTTGCGCGCGGGAGGAGCTTGGTTTTCGGCGTCGAGAGCGATCTTCTCCCGCAACCGCTCAATGCTAGGAACCGCCATCTCCGAGTTGACGCCGTAGAACTTGGATCGGCGGTCCGGAGAGCGATCAGCCCACGACCCACGATGCGGTCCAAGTTTGGGTTTCTGGATGTGTAGACCGTGGTGTTTGTGGTCTCTTTCGGGAGACGAGTCGAGATTCTTCAATTCGATGTTCTGAGAACTCGCTTCCCGTTGTCGTTGCGCCTCTTCTTGATCGCCTAACGGATGATCGACGGCATCTGGCAGATGATCATAATCTTCATCCTCGTGTAAACCCAATCGTGCCCTTTGAGCCCGCGCAAATTCTTCATCACGACGCACGGCATCATCCTCCAAAGTGATAGGCAGATAACGGATCAGAGGGCCAAAAGCATCACTTAGAAGAAGCTGAAACCCTACGGTGAGAATCAAAACAACAATCATGACGATCGCTTGACCTTCGCATGCGACATCCCCATTCTCGTCGCGAACCAAGAAGAACAAGCCAATAAGAGCAAGCTCCATAATGTACAGACCGGTGAACAACTGGCTAACTGCCCGCGGGAAAAGCAGACCTCCCGTGTCGAAGCGGAACTTGGTCACGTAGAGAGTATTGTATCTGTAGACAAACCAGAAAAGACCGAATGTGATAACATTGAAGACCAGAATGAGGGGCGCAACGACACAGTAAATCAAGCCTGGGAGACCATCTGTTAGTAAGTGGCTAGCCTTAGCACAAGCTGAGACAAACATACCGATTGAAGCAAGGGTAGTGTAAACGGGGAAGAAAGTGCCCCATTGCATCTGATTCAGGTTGGTTGTACGCGCCCACTTCTTTCTGGCTGTCTTATCGAAAATCGGCGCGAGAATGAACCAGCTTATCAGATTGACGATCTGAACCAATGCTCCCGCACTCACAGACATGGCCTGTAGAATCATGTATGAGAAGAAGTAGTTACTGGACGAGGGAATGTTCTGTGCTAGAAGTTCTGGCCAGCTGGTGACATCGGTGACGTTACTGATGATAGTCGAGAAACTGGACGAAATAGTGACGACCAGGAACAGTTGCACAAATAAGAACGCAAAGTAATAGGCCTGGACCGTTAGTTCGACCGCCATACCAGTGTGAAGACCTTGGGTCCGACTGAGAAAGCGTAGGATAAGAGGCAAGATTGCCATGAGAATTGCAAGAAAGAGTGCAGGTAAGACACCCTGTACTGCCGAGATGACCCAAGCTGGTAACTTGGAAATCCAGGACAGCCAAGTAAAAGCTTCTTCGAGGTATGTTAGCTGCGAGAGAAGACCCGTGAAGGCAACGGGAATTGCCCATCCTACAACCATGGCGCAAACCAGAGTGATAATTCCGAATGTCCTCAGATATCGTTCCCACCATTTCATTGACATGTTATCCCAGATGACATCGTCCGGCGAAATCTCAACAATGCGAGGCGCCATTTGCTTGGGAACATGGTGGCTGACGGCCTGACATGCCATATGAGCCGCCACCTGGTGATTGAACTGGATGAAGGCGGAGTTCATGAGAGGGAATCGCTCGGGATGCTGCTGGTCAATCTCAATCTCCAAATTCAGCCGAGCCAGCTCTTTGCGGCAGTAGTCAATAGTGTCGACCTTTTTGCCTATAAGCCACAGAGATGGCATCCAGCTGAAGATTGGCAGCCGCATGGTCGGGCGCTTCTTTTCTTGAATGTATTTTTTCCAAACTGGCTCTCCAAAGTCTTCGTTATCATAGCCCTCATTGTAAGCCAGTGGATATTCATGTCCCTCCACTTCATCCCCCTCTTTTCTGTGAGGAACTGAATCTTCGGTACGTTTCTCCTTCAACGACTGGCTTCTGTCGGACTCAGAGCTCGATGCCCGCTCAACAGGCGACTCGGGGGCTGTCAACGGAAGTTCATCGGGCTCAGAAGTGTTGCTCCTCTTGCTAAATTTAGAGTTGCCGGAGCCCCGACTTTTCCAGACTGGCCGCTTCGGATGAGAAGAGGTTCCGGGCCTCGATGGCTCGGGCCTAGAGGCTTCGGGCCTGATCTCTGCTACATCCGCTTCGTTCTCATGGAGTGTTTCAGGTTCGTCATGAATATCTCCTGACCAAGACAAGGGGTCCTCACGGCTGGCATGGCTGGCAGGTGGAGCAACGTGGCCATTGTAAGGAGCACCGCTGCTCTCAGGTACGAACCCTCCAGTTCGAGTCAACTTATCGTCAATACCATGCTCCCATTTTCGGAAACCTCCCAGAACAGACTTTCCCAGTTTTTCCACGCCTTGGCCAACAGCACCTGCTGCTTCTAGCGCGGGATCCAAGGGGTTGAAGAGCAGCTTCTTCTTCCTAGGCTCCTCTTGAATACTCTCTCCTGTATTGCGATGTAGGATCTGATCCAACGTATGGGCTTGATGCGGGTTTCCAGAGCTAATGCCAGCGTCCATGGCTAACTGCGATGCCTTCCTCTCAGCGGCCTTTCTTTCTTGAGTCTCCACTGAGTTTGGGTCAAGCCCGGCCTTTTTCGCGGCAGCCTTGGTTTGTTTGAGCTGGGCCTTCTTGCAGTTC